TGCCTTGAAATCCCTACAGGGTCACCATAAGACAACTGCAGCTTGATGGCACTTTCCATCACCACATTCAATAGGACTGCTGCTTTAAATAAATGATCCAGATCAGTGAATTCTTACTATACACCTGTGGGTATTCTTACTATATACCTGTGCAGAGAACACTATGAGAGTGTTTTTGTGACATTATTGCAAAGGTGATTACTTCCAGACGCTAGTGTCTTCAGACGTCAGTTCATACGGAATAGGCTGTTGTACTAACACATAGCCTCAAGCACCTAACAGTTGAACATGCTGAATGCATACACTCATTCCTTATTCTCCAGCCATCTTCTCTGTTGCCAGCGAAGGCTTCCCACAAGGACCTTTCCTCAAAGAGAACAATCATTTTCTTTATCGATGCAGAGTTATATAACTTGGTTTTAGAATCTGCCTGAGGCCATTGTCCCACGCAGGTAGACTGACACAACACATGTTTTACAGGCAACGTCTCCAGCTATTTTCTGCCATGCACTGCACAGGTCCATTGATTTATGCCAGTGTAGACCACAAATGAGTCACCCAAATGTTACAATAGGTATTTTTAAAAAATGATTTCTATTACTAGCACATCTAGGTGCAAGTTATATCCAGAATTGGGAGTTACATGCAGCAAGTATTGCATTTTTACAGGTTCTTAATTAACCTGTTTCTTTGTATTAAAAGGTGATATAATCTTGTTTTGTTTCTTAAAATAAAAGTTACAGGAGAAATTTTAATCAATCTACCATGTATGTGTATGTGGCCTTAAGACTGATAACACAGTTAGAAATTGGCATTGTTATTGTTCTATCTAACTTTTTTGAGTTACTTTGTTGTTTATGGAAAAAATAAATAAAAATTGTATTTAAAAAAGAAATTTTAAAATGTCTATTACTGGATCAACTACTTAAAACTGCTGTATTTCAGATGGTCCAGTATTAGTGCAGCACCAGAGCCTGTTGATGGGCAGGTATAATGACAGTATAATTTTCAATATTGCAGCATAATGGCAGTTCAGAAGAGCAAGTCCACTGGCTTCCAGTCTATGGCGGCGCGCTGAGCAGTCGCACCTCCCAGACCTCCCGGGGGTGAAGCTGCGCACCGGCAGAAAGGAGGGGGGCGATGCATCGCACACACCCCAGGGGCCTGGCGAGAGGACTCTTGAGAGGTTGCCCCTTTGCCAGCGTGATGCTGGGAAATCGAGGCGCTTCTCCATCTCCATGGTCCCTCTGCCGAGTGTCCGTATGGAACTAGTGGCGCTGACTGGGACAAGCGTAGGAGATCGAGCGGCTAAAACCGACGGCAAAGCGAGGTCGGGTGACCAAATATGAACGTAAGTCGGAATAGAGCAGTTTTGCTAAGATAAAAGAAAGCTCCCTTACCCCACGGACCAGAGAGTAAAGCGAGCGGGGGAGGGGCCCCTCCCATGCGCATAAATTTATAAACGAGAGTGGGGGGGCGGAAGAAAAAGCGGTGGAAACTGTTGGAAAGACTTACCAAGGCGCGTACGAGCATGGGAGCTAGGAATGCCAATTGACTTCCATGGGCTACATTGAAATACATTACAGCTCAAGAAGAGTTGCAAAGAAAATGTGGACTGGATTTTTTATTAAGGTCTCTGGTCCTAAATACACTGCTCTGGGACTGGAATGACATGCCCCAGAGTGGAATGACAAGCCCTGGAGGTAGCAGGTGTGTTCTGAGACTGGAATGACAGGCCCCACCTTGGAATGACAGCTCCTGGGGGTAGAAGGAGTGTTCTGGGACTGGAAAGACAGGCCCCAGGGTGGAATGACAGCCCCTGGGGGTAGCAGATGAGTTCTGACGGTGGAATGGCAGGCCCCAGGGTGGAATGACAGCCCCTGGGGGTAGCAGGAGACTTCTGGGACTGGAATGACAGGCCCGAGTGGAATGACAGCCCCTGGGGGATAGGAAAGGGGTCCTGGGACTGGAATGACATGCCAGTCCCAGAACTCTCCTGCTACCCCCAGGGGCTGTCATTCCAGTCCCAGAACACTGCTGCTACCCCCAAGGGCTGTCATTCCACTCTGGGGCATGTCATTCCACTCCCAGAACACTCCCCCCCCCCCCCGGAGCTGTCATTCCCCTCTGAGGCCTGTCATTGCAGTCCCAGAACTCTCTTGCCACCCCGGGGCTGTCATTCCAGTCCCAGAACTCTCCTGCTACCCCCAGGGGCTGTCATTCCACTCTGGGGCCCATCATTCCAGTCCCAGGACCAATCTCCTACCCCCAGGGGCCATCATTACACTCTGGGGCCTGTCATTCCAGTCCCAGAACTCTCCTGCTGCCCCCAGGGGCTGTTGTTCCACTCTGGGGCCTGTTATTTCAGTCCCAGGACCCATCTCCTATCCCCCAGGGGCTGTCATTCCACTCTGGGGCCTGTCATTCCACTCCCAGAACTCTCCTGCCAACCCCAGGGGCTGTCATTCCACTCTGGGGCCTGTCATTCCACTCCCAGAATACTCCTGCTACCCCAGGGGCTGTCATTCCAGTCCCAGAACACTCCTGCTACCCCCAGGGACTGTCATTCCACTCTGGGGCATGTCATGCCAGTCCGAGAACTCTCTTGCTACCCCCAGGGGCTGTCATTCCACTCTGGGGCCTGTCATTCCAGTCCCAGAACACTGCTGCTACCCCAAGGGCTGTCATTCCACTCTGGGGCCTGTCATTGCAGTCCCAGAACTCTCCTGCCACCCCCAGGGGATGTCATTCCAGTCCCAGACCACTCCTGCTACCCCTAGGGGCTGTCATTCCTCTCTGGGGCATATCATGCCAGTCACAGAACTCTCCTGCTACCCTCAGGGGTTGTCATTCCACTCTGGGGGCTGTCATTCCGGTCCCACAACACTGCTGCTACCCCCAAGGGCTGTCAATCCACTCTGGGGCCCGTCATTCCAGTCCCAGGACCCATCTCCTACCCCCAGGAGCCATCATTCCACGCTGGGGCCTGTCATTCCAGTCCCAGGACACATCTGCTACCCCCACGGGCTGTCATTCCAGTCCTAGAACTCTCCTGCTGTGCCCAGGGGCTGTCATTCCATCCACTCTGGGGCCTGTCATTCCAGTCCCAGAACACTCCTGGTACCCCCAGGGGCTGTCATTCCACCCTGGGGGCTGTCATTCCACTGTCAGAACTCACCTGCTACCCCCAGGGGCTGTCATTCTACCCTGGGGCCTGTCATTCCAGTCCAAGAACACTCCTTGTAAACCCAGGGGCTGTCATTCCTCTGTGGGGCCTGTTATTCCACCCTCAGAACATATCTGGTACCCCCAGGGCCTGTCATTCCAGTCCCAGAACACTCCTTCTACCCCCAGGAGCTGTTATTCCATGGTGGGGCCTGTCATTCCAGTCCCAGAATACACCTGCTACCTCCAGGGGCTGTCATTCCAGTCCCAGAGCAGTGTATTTGGGACCAGAGACCTTAATAGAAAATCCCTTCCACATTTTCTTTGCCACTCTTCTTGAGCTGTAATGTGTTTCAATGTAGCCCATGGAAGTCAATGGGCATTCATTCCTGGCTCCCATTATTTCCAACGGGCCTTCAAGACTCTCCCATTGTTTCCAATAGGCAATCCTGTACTTCATTTTAGTACATCCCCTTAACATTGCCCTTTTGTATGCTTTCAGAAGCAAACTATTTTGTGCTTTCCACAAAGAAGAAAAGGACTTTAGAGTCAGGACACAGGTATTTTTATTCACGACTACTTTATAGATGAAAAGGACAGTGTGTTAGAAATCTTAAGTGGTAGGACGCAATAGCAAAAGAATGAGATCACTATTTTTAACTCAATGGCTTTCTCTAAATGAACTTATCTGCTTCTTGTCAGTATTACAACAGCATGTGACAATGAGTTTCAAAGAGATGTGTTGTGCTGGACCCCTTGAAATAGCAATTCTTAGCATTAAAGTTTTTTAAAAACTCAATTAAAGTCAGTCTGTGGATTATGTATATCTTTTCAAAGCTACATTAACAGTAGTTCACTAACCTATCAAAACACACAGAATAAACAAACATGGAAACTCCCCCTGGAAATGGAATCAGATACTTAAAGCTTTAAAAAGATACTGATATTCAACTCAGTTCTTCACAGATTTAATAGGGCTTTTTTGGCAATTTGAAATTCTCCAGTAGTAACACATTCATGGCCAGGGGGCAATCCATTGGCCTAGGCCTCAAGTTGGAAAGGGGGCTCAAATTTAGATATGTTTTAAATCTTTGGCATTTGATAAGTTTCATTAATTGTTTTTATGCACATCATAAATTGTCACTTTTAAATAATAAGCTGTCATTTTGAGGCTAGGGGCCTCAAAGCCTGGAACCTGGACTTGCAAGGATTTTCATTCTTTCTATACACTCCTCCACACACAAAACCATCCACAGACATGTGCCTGAATAGTTTTTAATGGGAAATTCATCCTACTGACTTCATTTGGAATTATTTTTACATTTAAGAAAGTTTAAGCCTTGTATACACATATTCTTCATACAACCTAATCTCAGGAATGACTTGTCAGATATCCTATTGAGGCGTACTCCCAGATAATTATGAATAGGATTTCAAACCGTGTCCACGTTTAACACGCAGAACTCCCTTAGGGGGCACTCCAGTGCGTACTTGAAAGACTTACTGATTTTAGTGCTTCCAGGTTAATATTCAAAGGAAGAACAAAGACGAACACACACATTACCATGTTGGTCCCGCAGAAAAACGATATTATAAGAAAACTGTTTATCTAATAATACTAATCCTGTAAGGAATGCGTACGAACGTAGTCTCAAGCGGATATCTTCCCGACAGCGGGGCGAAAGTGAGAGTCCTCCATACTGCAAAGCTTTAATTGGTTGCAAATTCCTGACCGAGACAGAGACGACCTCCAGCCCACCGAGCGGCGCCATACTGCCGTTCAGCGTAGCGGAGGAGTTATTTGCTTGCGCATGCGCCACTCGGGCGGACGGCTGGAAGTGGGGTCAGTGTGCCGGGATGATGGGTGCCCGGTTAACACGCGTGTTTAAGAGTTTTAACCTGGAGAGCCGAGCCCACCGGGAGATCGGCAAAGCGAAGCCCACGCCTGCTCCGCGATACCCTGTCGCAGCGGCCACGCAGGACTGTGAGTTTTGCCCTGGCTAAGAGCACGCACGCAGTCATTCGGGGACACTGAGCCCGCGACCGAGCAATCCTCTCTTCTCCCCTTTTCCATCGTGGATGGTGACTTGCCCACGAGCTTCCACCAAGGGGAGGAGATGAATGGATGGCGACCGGGCTCGCGTTGCATTTTGCTGGTGGCCTGGCCACTGAGCCTGGGGGCCAAGGGGGCTGCTAATCCCTGGGGTATCCAGCTGGCGCATGAGTGGAGGGGATAGTACGCGAGGTAAATGCGAGTCAAAGGTAGGCCCTACGAGTGGGATGCTACCGGATTGCTGCGACCGGCAAGAAAGGCCCTTGTGACATTGAAACTTTTACCTTATGTGTCCTGAGCGTTTGGAAGCAGCGCGCTTTGCCCTTTCCCATCTGGAACGCTCTTTTAAGGGTTTTTGCCGGGCGCGTGCGTGACGTAGCTGATTTGCCGCGCTTTGCGGCCTGGGAGTTGTAGTTTGGGCTGTGACTTAAGGGGTCACAGCCCCTGGGAAAGTAGATTGTTGTAACAGAAAGGCGAGGTAAAGATTTGATGGATTCCTCATTCCATCAGTTATCCCCCCCCCCCCGGTTCTGTCCCTGCCTCCTTTCAAATAGTGATAGTGTTGCAGCTCAAGTGTTTTTGTAGTGCTTGAGACCAGTGTACCAAAATCTTGAAGGAAAGTATTTTTAGAAGGCATAGTGTAGAGCTGCCTAATGTGTAAGTTTCACATAAATATTACTTATGTTTAACATGGTAAAATGTAAGAATATCAGTGTGTACTAGCTTGCATAGCCAGGAAGACTTTAGAAGGGGTGACTTCTCTCAAATGTGGAGGTGCAGAACAGGGCAACTAAAACGATTATGGGGATGGAACACCTTCCCTATGAAGAAAGGTTAAAGAGGTCAGGGCTCTTTAGAGTGGAGAAATGACGACTGAGGGGTGTCATGATACAGGTTTACAAAATTATGCATGGGATAGAGAAGGTAGAAAAAGAAATACCTTTCTCCCTTTCTCACAATACAAGCTTGTGGATACTCAATGAAATTAATGAGCAGTAAGCAGATAAAAGGAAGTACTTCTTCACCTAAAGAGTAATTAACACATGGAATTCACTGCCACATGAAATGGTGGTGGCTACAAGCATAGACAGCTTCAAGAGGAGATTGGAGGGCTTCTGGAGTTCTGGCCCCACTGGTGGACCTCCTGATGGCACCTGGGTGTTGGCCACTGTGTGACATGGCTTCTCTTATGTTCTTAAGAAGTATACTCAGTATATTTTAAGTTCCAGCAGTTTACTAGCATGTTTATTATTTATATAGTGTTTAGGATTGCCAGTCTCAAGATGGGGGGCAGAGTTCTCCTGGAATTACAACTGATCTCCAGTCTACAAAGATCAGTTCTCCTGATGGAAATGGCAGCATTACAGGACAAATTTAACAGCATCACATCACACCTGAGCTCCTTCCCCTCCCCAGACTGTCTTCCGTACACACTACCCTGAAAACTCAAGGAATTTCCCATGCCAGCAATTAGAGTGTTCCAAGCGGATCAAGCATTTTATCTCTTAATTCTTACAGGAGCCATGTAGGGTATTATTACTGTCCCAGTGTTGCAGAAGAGGGGCTGAGAAGGAGTAACAGATATGTATGTGATTTGGGAAGGGTTTGTTTTAAATTTTACTTCATTTATACTTGTATTTCACCCCACTGGGGAGCCAAAGCAGCTTACATCATTCTCCTCTCCTCCATTTTATCCTTACAGCAATTCTATGTGTGAGGTAAGTTTAAACTGAGAGTGTGTGACTGGCCCGAGTTCATGCAGGAAGCTTTCATGGCGGAGTGGGGATTTGGGTCTCCCAGACTCTACGGCTTGCTGGCTCTAAGAAGAAGCAGTTTGAACTTCCTTCTGGCCCTTTATCTGAAAGGGGCCAGTGTGGTGAAGTGGTGAAAATATTGGAATCGGATATGGAAGAACCCTGGATCCCTCTCAGTGTAACTACTTCACAGAGTTGCTGTGAGGATAAAATAAAGGGGAATCATTTTTGGTATCTTGAACTCTAGAGGAGCTGTAGGATAAAAATGTACTAGATGGTCAGTGCAGTCCTAAGAGTGCTTTTCTGACAATAAGCCCCACTGCAAAGACTTTCAGTAGGATTCTGAATAGCCTTGCTATTGCTCTAAGATTGGGAGGCCTAAAGCTATATAACTTTTTGCAGAGGAGATATTTGAACTAGACATCTTGTGGGCCACTGTTCATTCTTTTAGCCACTGTTCTAAAACAGTTTTTTTTAATTTATTTTAAAGACCATTCTTTAAAGTGGGGCTTTGTAAACCTTTTACTAAGGTGACCCACCAATGGAATCGCATTTAGTTTCATTTTTGACCAGGAAATAAAGTTGTCTTAGCTTCTCCTGCTTCATGGTCAATGGTAGCTGTTACTAGCTAGCTGATAGTGTTCTCCAGTACTACCAAATGTTGTTTTCTCCATTTCTGAGAATGAGTGACCTAAAACATTCTGGAGCTATTTTCTCTGTGAATACTGATTCTGGACTGTGTGAACTGTTAGTTAAACCCACTGACGTGCTGTGATGAAAAATAGGAATTTCAAAACGACTACCAAAATTCTTTCCTGAAGCATAGCAAATATTGACTTAGGATGTGTGTGCGCTAGATTATACAGAGCATTTGTATGAATACATAGATATTTTAATATGAATATGTTGAATGATTTTGAGTGATTTCCATACAGAATTGTGTTACATTGTTTATGCTAGGAGGGAGTTGAGACACCTTGTTGTCTTATGCTGTAAATCTCTCCTTCCTCAGACCCTGACCAATTCCAAGAAGAAATTAAGAAGAAAGATGAACATCTTCATGCATTATTAAAAGAGGTTTATGTTGATTCCAGAGATCCACCTATGATTGTAAGTTTGTTTTCTTGGAATGCACACTTGCAGATTTACTTCATTAGAGAGAAGACAGTGATAGTTGTAATGTTCAGTTCTGTAAAGACAGGTATAATATTAGATAACGTTAAGCTGTGTGTGTCCTTTAGCATCATGTAGTTTGTAAAACATGAATTTGTCAGAAAAAGAAAACTACAATTATATTATTTCTCGTTTATTGGTACATTTACTGTCATAGTCAGTTCTTAATACAAATTTGCCTTGAGAGGTCTGTTTAGCTACTAAATTCAAAGGTTCCTTTTATTTTATTCATTTATACTCTGCTTTTCTCCCCATTCTGCTGTCCTCCATTTTATCCTCACAACAGCCCTGTGAGGTGGAGTAGGCTAAGAATGTATGACTGGCCCAAGGTCACCCAGCGAGCTTCTATGGCACAAGTGGGGATTCTTCTATGGCACAAGTGGTGATTCAAACCTGGGTCTTCCAGATACTAGTCTGACACGCTTAACCTCTATACAACACTGTTATTGCCAAGTTAGCTCTGCAGCAGGATAGGCCAGAGGGGTACAGGAATCGCACACCACTTGTATACTAAGGTCCCGCACAGTAGGAAAACTCCATATTTGAAGACTAAATTAAATAGTTTTTATTGAAGAATTTCCCTAATTACAAGCACACTAAACATTCAAAAAGAGCAAGCAATACAGAACTAGGAAAGCAGAGGTGATTGATAGCAAATAGAGGGGTCAGTTATGCGGTGATACAACCTGTCCAGATGTGCAAGGATCCATGGAGGCCATGTGCTCTGACGGATATAGACATTGGAAAACAATGCAGACCAATGGAAGGCCTTGGGGGCTGGTCTCAAGAGAGAACAATAGATTTTCTAGACCAATGGCATTTCTCTGGTGCCAGACAAAAGAGATGATATTTCTTAATGTGTGGTAGGATGAACCTGAATGGGAGACCATTCACTGTACATGGAAAGTTAATGTTTACCTTGATAGGTCTGGCATAGGTGTAAGAATGTAGATTGTCTAAGATATGGAGACAGGAATGAGAGGATTATTCCAAAGGTATTTCCTTACATAACAGGAGGTAGGGATGGAAAACATCCAGCATACTTCATTCATGACACTAGCACAGACCAGAGGCTCTTTGTCCCTGCCTGCCTGTATATTTGACAGACAGAAGACTCGCCATTTGGTCAGTGGAAGATGCCTGAGGCAAGGGCAGAGACTTGCCTATTCTTAGTCCTTTTGGACTGAGCTAACAGGAGAGATGTGGGGGGGGGGGGGGGTGGGTTCTATGGGGGACAGCGT